CCTTGTTTTCTCACTGCCCAATTTTTCTTGTTAGACTTGAACTTCTTCAATTCCTCTGTGAGGTGATGGAGCACTGGAACAGGCTGCCGAGAGAGGTTGTGAGGTCTCCTTCTATGGAGATACTCAAACCCTACCTGGATGAGATCCTGGGCAATGTGCTGTAGGTGACCCTACTAGAAGTAGGGGGTTGGATTAGATATCCTAAGTAGTCCCTTCCAACCTAAAACATTCTGTGATGTGGGACAAATGTGACACAAAATCTATTGTCAAATATTTTCAACAAACACTTAGACTACTGTGCTGTAGTCATTTTATAAATGTAAGTAGGATGTGAAAAGTAGCACAGATCAATTTTCCAGGCTGTCTCTAGTATCATTTGCCTGGGCTGTATTTTTTGTTTTTATCATTCTTCTTTCCCTTTTCTCTTTCTTCCTTCTGCTCTCATCACTCCTCCGACTGTTAACCTGGCCCAGAACCAGGAGCTTTCTCTGTAAGTTGATGACACCTCATTCGTGTATCTTCAGCAGAAATGTTAGTTTTCAGTGAGGTTTGAGATATTAAGGAGACATCATAATTTTAGTTTTTAAGCAATTTTCATTCTCTTTATTTTAAACTTGTGATTCATCCAGGTAGACAAAAAAATCTAGATGTTTAATTTGTAGTACCGATCTACAAAGAGTGAGATTGCTTTGGTGCTGACCTAAACTTCACAATGAGAATCACTGATGTGAATTCTGTGAATGCACATAGCAGGGGGGTTGAAACTAGATGATCCTTTGCAACCGGGCCCATTCTACAATCAATTCTATGATTCTGAGAATTTTACACGTGTGCCAAGGACACTGGGATCCTTTATTTTTCATTTAGAACAGAAAGCTTGCTAATAAACCAATAAAACTGATTTTTTTTTCAGCACTCTTCCTGCAAACTTAAACTGCAAGTTTGCCCATTCCACAAGTCCTGATGCCCCATATATTTCTGGCCACTGCTATTGGAAAAAAGGTGCATTGGAAAGGGTACGGCATGCAGAAGCAGTGACTTACCTTGCATGCTGTGGCAGGGTGAGGTGTCTGCAGGCCGTGTGTTCCCAGAGAGCTCTGTCACTGGCCCAGGCTCTGCGCTGAAGTTAGCATCAGCATTGCAGACCGTGCGGTGTCTTCCTGCAGATGTGCATGTAAGGTCCTGCACATCTGGGCACCTCCCTGTCCCCAAGGCGTGCTGGGAGGGAGGATGCTGTATTGCATCCGCAGGAGTTCCAGGCTGAATCAGAGGTGGTCTTCAGTCCGAGCACTGGATTTAATTGTTTATAAAGCTGCAGAAAGATCCTTACTAAATTTCGTTGTTGGTTTTTGTTGTTGTTTTTTTTTTTAATATCTTTCCCTTTTCCTTCTTATTTCCTTTCTCTTTTTCTTCTTTTTCTGGTTTTTTTTTTTGGCTGTTAGACTTGGCAAGTTTCCTTCCTAGCATTTGGAAGTAATTGTTTTCTAAATGCTATGCAGGATATCTGCCAAATTTAACACCTTAGAAGGAAGCAGGGGCGAGAGACCTACCTGGGAATGAAGTGAATATTGTGCTCCTTTACCAAGTGCTAAAAAGGAAACTTCCCAAATATAGCACCTACAATCAAAACCACCAACTTCCCTAACAATAGCCATAAAGCAATACAGGCAAGATGGTAAAAAAAGACCATTTCACCCAGACTCAAAACTTCCTTCTCTTTCTCGATACCTGATGACGTGGCTTTTATTTTATTGTTTTCTCTCAGCAGATGAGTACGGTTGGGGGACAGATTTTTATCAAGGCATTATTAGAAAGTAGTTCTAGTTTAAAAGAATGCATGATCAGTGTGTCAATTTAAAAAAAAAAAAAAGGAAAAAAGGAAAAGCAAAGTGGTATCCAGTGCTGAGACTGAAAGTGATCTCATCTTGGAGACTTTGCAGTGGTGTGGTTAGATGGGACATCTGCATCCGGGCAGCCCCACCACTAGCACAGGAACAGGGGAAAAAGTCAAATCCTTTCTCCTTCAGATGTTCTGGATGATGAGGAATCAGCAGGTAGCACAGGGTGTGGTTGTGTCCCTGCTGCTTCTGTTCACAGTTTCAGCAGAGGTGCAGTGCAGCTGCATGTACGTTACGGCAGCCCTGGGACAGCTCTGAGATGCTTGTGTTTGTGGCAGGATAGGGATTGCAATGGGAATGCTAAGCTTTTATGGAGAACAGCTCAGCAAGCATAAGAAATCATGTTCAGCGTCATAAACATCCTTGTTGGTAAGTGCTGGGAGTCAGCTGTGACCAGATACTTTTTGGTAAAAGCCTTGTATTCAATGACCTCTCTGTAAGACATCACCCTCCACCAGCACTGCCTGGTCCTTGGAGGTGATCTCAGTGTGTCCTGAGGTCTGCGGGTGGGGGTGCAGCAGGCAGCTCCTCTGCTCTCTGTCTTCTCATTCCCTTGGAAATAGGAAGAGCTGCCTGGAGGAGGGGGCTGTCACTTATCCTGCCTGCTGTGCTAGGGTTTCGCTATCTGGTTGGATTCCAACTGCTACCATCATGTATTTAGTAATAATATTTAACCAAGCAAATGACTTCAAAAGTAGTCGAGAAAAATAAAAGGGGATATACGCTTTCATGACTTCCCCTCGATTTAGATCTTGTCTTTCTCTATAATTTAATGTATTTTCCCTCATATTGGATGGCACATTTTGCATATAACAACTTCTCTGTAATAGATACTCTATGTAATTTAGATGTAATTTTTGACACATTAACAACTCAGGGGAATTTAATTAGTTTTCATAAAGCTTTACGAAAAGTTAAAAATAACCCCAAATGACAATCATAATAAGAGTAACCAAGTTTAAGTTTAAAAGTTGAATCCTTTAAATTAAAATGACTTAATTACATTGAAGATCAGCTGTTCTGCATTAACTTCTAAGCCCACACGTTACTGCTAGATTGATTCTGCTGCCAGCGGTCGTAGTGTTTGCCGAAGAAGACAAGTTGTTGCCCCTAAAATGGGGAGGGTACGTATAGGACCGTTTCTTAAGTCTCCTTTGTAATGAATAGTAGAATATGCCAGAGCAGAATAAGCAACCATGAGCTCTTTTGACGCTGATGTGTCATAGGAACTTCTCCTGGAGAGAGGCTATGTTTCCTGCAGCAGCTTCTGCAAGTTTGGTTGCTTAATTACACTTGGACTACAGTACACACTAAAACGTATATGCTTTTTCCTTATGGACTTTAATAGAAGTGCATTTTAAACGTAGATGATTACCAGTCTTGGTAAAGTTTCCTTTCCATTAGTAAAGAGAGCACTGCTGGTCTGAGAATCTGTCAGGTCATCCACATACCAGCATTACATCAATTGACTTCTGAATATTTTTCCATTAGAAAAGGCTCCATTTTATTCTCTCGCTGAAATGGCAGACTTTCAGCTTGTGCGGTTTTTCCATTTATTGAATTTTGCAATAAAGGAGTTTTTGAAACAGATGTCAGTCATTGCTTAGGAGCGGGGCATTGTTAGAGATCTGTTTTCTTCTGCTTTTTGCTATTTGTTTTTTAAGTTAAAATAAATTCTTCTTCCCCCCCTCGATTAAATTGTCACTTTTAAAAGCCTTTTTTAAAACCTGTCAGGGCAAATGTGAGCACCAAACCCCAATCTCAGAAAAGTATTTCAGATTGCCATTGTTCTCAGCAGGAGCAGGACTGGATTAGTCTCTCAATTTGAAACTAGAAGCAGGGGAGTGGACGCACCACAGAAACATGTTTCATATTAGCATCTTCCTTAGGGTGTGGATTGGACCTGTTAACACTTTCTTAATGTTGAAATTTTATAAAAGTAGCCAAATTTCTGCAATAAGTAGTGCCTAGTATGGACTTATTATGCACAGAAGCACTGAACTTGAAGGGAGTTTCCTTTCTTGCTAAAGTCCCATTTAGATAGAAATAAGATTTTGGATCCTGAAACGTACATGTATCTTTAAAATGCAGGGGATAATTAGGAGAAATTGAATATCTGCAGGCTGATGGATCTTCTCTCATCACAGATGAGCAAAGTGCTAGTCACATCTCTGAGTATGAGACACAGTGAGATAGATATGCTTCTAAAAATTCAGTTTTACATTTTTGTCATCATTTAGCAGACTATACTTACTCCATGTCTATTTAAAAAACACCATTTTCTTTTAATGGATGTATTAGTTGGCTTGGTTCAGTTATATAAACAATCAGTTTCGAATTCTAAGAATGTCACCACGTGTGTTGTAAAGAAAACTGTCTCTATAAGAAAGCGGCGTTATAAGCTGACGTCTATTGTGGGGGGGATGAGCCTTCATTAATTCACCTCAGTGCTTTGCTGTAATTTCTGACATCAAAGAACATGGTTTCCAAAGGTGAGGGAACACAAAGCATCCCATATTTATGATTTATAGGGGCCAGAACTATGACCTAATGTAAACTCAAAGAGATTTAGTATAATATCCTTAGCTTGAGGGCAACATTTTGAAAACGTTGCAGATTTTCTCTTTTATCTGGGCTCAATCTAGAATCATACTTCTTTGTTATTATTTCCTCTTAGTATTATAGTACAGTTGACATTGATAGATATCAGGGAGAAGCCGAACTTCATGAGAAAGGGGGGGAAGAAAGCCTTCGTGTGTTGTTGGCACAGAAATAACAGCCGTGGAGGAGTTCCTGGCTGCCTTTATTTGTCTGCTGACAGCGAGTGCAGCAGGGCTCTCGCTGCTTGCTTCTGGCTCCTGTGGGTCCACAATAAACAGCTGAAGCATATATTTATTCTACAGATTAATTTGATTCGCTGAAGATAGCTGTTCCCTACCTGTGAATGTGTGATAGTTAATGGAAACTTGCAGATGGAGACATCAGCTCTTAATTTTGTGCCAGCAGGTTAATACAGCTCTGTGGTACTGTCTTCTCCACAGGTGTGTGTGTACTAGGAGTGTTTGAACCCCACTGTAACTAATAGCCCATATGTAATTGGGAAGAAGAAATCTTCAATGGAAGACCCCCGGGGAATAAATGGGAAGGCTGTAAGTAAACAACGTGTCAGTCCTAAGGAAAAAAGTGATTGCTTTTAAAGTAGTAATTATTTTTGTTGCAACCAAGTGGTTGGAAGGCTTTAGGAAGCCACACACACTTTTAATGACTGTAAGCAGCAGATGATGAAATTGCTTCAGAGGTGGAGGCTTATGTGAAAGCTACATTGGATAAGGAAGTATGTACTGATTAGAAGTGTTTATCTGCAATAATTCACTGATTGCCTGATGATGATTGCTGCTTTCTCTAAGACATATTCAGGTTCCTGCATTTGTATCATTATTAACATTTTGATCTGTTACAGAGATTTCTTTCCACTGTCTGAAATTACTTCTTTTTGCCTGTGTGAATTTGTGCAAAAGTTACTTCATGCTGCCTTGGGGAGTGGGGAAAAATGTGGTCTTCTTAAAAAAAAATGTCACTGGCTGCTCGCTGTTTCTTGTAAATGCTGTTTAGAAAGTCGCAATGATAAAGAGTTTTGAAAACTATCAGACCTGGTTAATGCTGATTTAAAGTAGCCCTTCATGCTCCATGTAATGACTGGTGTACGCTATGGACTTGTTAGTTTGTTTTGTGATATCATTGCTGGCACTCAGTGAGCACCATAGTGCCGTGAAGATGGCTTTATTCATGATTGTTTTAACAGAAACAGCGTACATTAAGACTGCCTTGTTTTCACGAGTTGTAAAATAACTCCAAAAACTACTATTTAGTAAATTTGATTAAATTTATTTCCTGCATTTCTTTTTCTGGCTTGTTTTCTACATTTGACTGTGCTCTGTACCATCTCTCACTGTTTCCCTTGTATAACCAGTTTTCCCAACACTTGTGTTAGTTTTTCACATAGCAACAGAGTGGGAAGAAATCAGCCACCTAATAGCAAGCCTGCTGCGTTGTGTTTTTGTTACACATCTCATCCAGTGTCATTTTTACTGTCTGAAGCAATATGGCTTTGATTATTTTCCGATGTTCATTTATTCCACAGTCTGTCTCTATGTGTAGGTTTGGGTATTTATCCATCGCTGCTACAGCAGTGCATGAAAAGGAGCAATTCAGCCCCAGAGAAAGGAGTGGCAGTGGTTACTGAGTGCTGCTAGACAGGGATGGCCCTTGTTGCTGTTGTAGGCATGGAGCTCTCAGCACCACCCAAGCCTGGCCCTTGCTGTAGCCTGGATCAGCATTTTCTCTGTGCACGAGAAGCCATTCAGACTGCCTGCAGCTCCCGCTGCTGTTCTCCTCTCTGCTGGCCAGCAGAGCCTGTGCTTCGTGTGCTGCCATGGGCTTGAGTCTGGTAATCGTACGCGGGAGTCGTACGTAATGACAAATGTAACTGTCACTTAACATAACGGGAGTATTAAGGGAAATATTTGTTCATGGTTTGGCACCACCAGCGCTCCTGTTGGGGTTATTCATTCCATTCCTTCTTTTCACCACTTAGCCCAGAGAGCCTGTAAAACACTTCATCGTGCTCAGAATTTCCCCTCCCATTACCCAAGTGGGTGGTAGTCATGGATGCTATCAGGATTATCAAAATCTAAAACAGTGACTGCTGAATAGACTTGCCACATCGAAAAGCACTTAGGCTTCTGTAACTGCAAGAGCCAGACAGCCCAAAGGTATATGACCCAGGGCAGGATTACTGTGGTATTTCGCCTGTGGGCCACTGTGACTCTTCTGGCTGCCATGTCATTAGATAGGTTTAAAACTGGGGTAGTACACTGGTGGATCAAATCCTGCAATTAAGCCACTCTTTAATTCACTCCTAATTGGACAGGCTACTACTTTTGCAGCAGTTGGTTGGAGATCGTGGAGACTTCTTAAAAGCAGCAATCCAAAGTTAAAATAGTCTCTCTGAAAATGAAGATGATGATGTGAACAGTGTTTTTGTTTATGTTGCTTTGCTTGTGTGTTTACACGTGAAAGAAGATGAGAAAGAAAGAGAGAGAGAAAAATGCTGCAATTACAATACAAAATCGAAAGCTGTTTGTGACTTAAGATCCCTAACACATAGAGCCATTGCTAAAGCCTCTTGGTAGTCTATAGGGAAAGTTTTCTGCGTGTGCCAATTGAAAGATACTTTGATTTTGGAACTGGGCAATGCAAATTAGCAGTGCAAATTATTCTGGGGAAGCAATTTCAGGTACACATAGGTAAGGGGAGGACCTTTATTCTGCAACTGAGATAATAATGTATAATGTCTTAGGAAACCACAGCTAGATGGACAATGGAGGAAGTAGCAGGAGAAGGGAAAAGAAAAGGAAGAAAGTTTATCTGGCAGCACTATGAAAAAGTAGATGAGTGGATACTTTGCCGCTTTCTTTGGCCAAGATTTCTGCCAGATGAGAAGCAGGATGGTGTTTCACATGGGAATGCCTGTCGGTGTTAACGTGCACAAGAGTAAGCCCAGTAGGCTAAATTTTGCTCCCTGTTGCTTTCATACAGCTGAGAGGGGATTTTAGTATCTAAGCAACAGTCTCATCACCTGTAGAAATGGTCCTAATGGTGCTATAATGCATTTGGTTCACATTCTGTAGGAAGTGCCTGGCTAGTGCTTCATGAAGTGCTTGCAAACCTGAACACTGCATCTGCTCTGCCTGTCTTTTACTAGGTGTGTAAGACATACAACACAAATCTGATGCTGACTAGACAGAGGATGTCAGTGCATTATCCTACCTGAAAAGGTCACCAATGTTCAGTTTCTTTCTTTCCAAGAAAGAGAAGGCATTGAAACAAAACCTTTAATTACTCTAATGAAAGGGAAGGCTGTTTAATTTTGTGTTTATTGCCCATGGTCCACAGTGTGATTGTGTTCTCAAGCATTTCAGTCAATATAGGTGGTTTATGTCCAAAAGACTGATTAGGAATTGAAAAGGTACAGAAAGAGGATGTTCTTAAGGATACACCTTACTGACTGGAATTATGTATGAATGAAGGTGGTCTGCAGTTCACACTATGACTGTACCTGTTCTTCCTAAGGGCTCCTTTGGGAGAAACACCACATGGTGGATTGCTGACTTTTATCTGTTTCACATGACTTCTCTTTTATGTCAAGAAACACTCATGGAGTGGCTGGCATTGCTCTTTTGGGAGGAGAGGAGCAGGCTTACTGAAGTTTAGATCAAAATACAAGGTGCAGCATTTTTATTTCTTTGCCAGATGATCTTGATGCCAATCTCTGATCTATGAAAGGAAGGTGCTCTGATGGCTTTATTAATGCAGGGAGGCTCATTTGCTGATGATATATGCATCTGTTAAGGGCGGATATTCCACTCTTGTTTTACCAAGTTAGAAGAAGAGCTCTTGAATTTTGTAATTCTGCTGTGGCTTTTTTTTTTTTTTTTAATTGGCATCTCTGTATTAATAAAGTAGTCATTAATTTCAATCCAACTTGTCAGTGAGGCAGAGTTCTCAGTGAAAGCAGAGGTCTTACCAGTTCCTCTCAATGGCTGGATCTCAAAGTCTGTCAGAGTGCTGTGCTGCTCACCTCCCTGATCTTTCTCTGGATCTGCCTCTTCAGCTGATTGTCTCTGGAGCAAACAAAGTAATATTATTTGGCTTGCTGCTGAAATCTTAATGTCAGGTATGCACTCAACATGGTTAAACTGTGCATGCATAGGGATGCATCCCATGCCAAGTGTGATGTGGTACAGCTCCAACCTGCTCGAGTTTGTATGCCTTGTTCTTCAAGGTGACTCACTTCTACCTGCCAGTTACTTGCATTGAGTCCCTCTGCTCACACAAGTCTGAGAAGAAAAGAGTGTATGCTCTTTTAAGTGCTTTTGAGATGAAAATGCCAGTTTTGTTGGTAGAGAAATTCCAATTGTAGCGAAACTGGGTCATGGTACACTATACAACAAATTCATTTGAAAAAATTGATCTAAAATTTTGTGGCATACATTTGTGGTAGACTATATCTCCACTAATTCAAAATTTGACATTGAATCCTGAGCCCTAGAAACTTAGAAGCCTCATAAACATGACAGACACTGACATCAGAAGATTCTGACTTGATGCACTTGAGATAGATACACTCCTCTATTAGAGGTGCCTTGATAACAACCTTCCAAAAAACTCCAGAAAGACACTGTAGAAGGAAGTCGGTATTTTTTGGTCTAGTGGTTGGTGATCCTGCCCATGGCAGGGGATTTGAAACTGAATGGTCTTTGAGTTCCTTTTCAACCCAGGCCGTTCTATGATTCTGTGATTTTAATTCATTTTATTTGCCTAGTGATTTTTTTAATAATATATATTTTTTACTAATTTCTAAGATTCAGGACAAGGAAGTTTTCATAAGTATACTAGAATACTAAACCCCATGGGGATGTTTTGGAGTGTACTGCTTCTCTGTATGTCTTTGGTAATAATGTTAGGATATTATATAGCATAAAGTACCTTTCCCTCTTACACTATCCAGGCTTATAGTTGAAAAATCTCATGGCAAAATGGTATGTCAAGAAGTGATTTCAGCACTGAATTTGTCTGATGATGGGCTTTGCCCATCTGGAAAACAGAGAGAAATCTCTGAGGCTCTCAGCATTAAGGTTAGTTCCAAACAGTGCATACCCAGCGAGCCAAGAAAGGAGGTGCTCGTAGTCTGCTGCAGCAGTTAATCTTCTCCGATTCCCCCTGCAGCCCCCAAACCTCAGCTTTCTGTTGGCACTCTGGTCAGCCTGACTGCATACTTCCAACTTCTGGCTCCTCCCAGACACTTCTCCTGGGTGCCCCAGGCTGCATGGAGGTGCCATGTGTGATGGAATCACACCAAAATTTCCCTTTGTTCCTCTGCTAATGGAAAGATGCTGAGCAAGTAGCTGGTTTCAGGGAAAAAAAAAAAAAAAAAAAAAAAAAAAAAAAAAAAAAAAAAAAAAGAGGAAAAAAAAAAACCCAACACAAAAACCAACATCCAGCACCTGGCTGCTGCAAAATAATGAATTTTGCAGCAAACATGCGAGATTCTGTGGAATCTTGGAACAAGGCCAGACTCCACGACCAC